TTTATGTTCAATGCAAATCTCTAAAAAAATACCTTAAGATAATCTGATTTATAATTGTAGAATAACGTGCACATCGTAAACTGTTTTCATTTCTGTACTGTTTTATGTAATAAATGGCATGGCAAGAACAAAAGTAAAGCCTGTTTCTTCTGATTAAATTAATTTTCAGATTTATACATTTATCAGTACAAAATTAGAAAAAAGCATCCCCTAAATGAAACATTTAAGATATGCTTAGTGTTTTTTAGGACAAAAATCACGAAGACAAGTTACAAAGAAATTGCATAGTTAGACCCTCACAAAGCATTACTGACTGCATGAGCTGCCATGCAGGAGACAGCATTTGAGAGCCATATCCTAGCATGGGTTTTTTTGATAAACACCAACTGAAGTCTACACAAAGGAAGATGAAAGGAGAGATATATTCTTATTTTTCATTTCCTGTGTCAGCAAAAGCATGTAACACCGGTATTAACTACACAACAAACTACTGCAGAACTTTCAGAGCTATACAGATGTTATCTAAAGAGTCAAACCACACATTTAGATAGTTATTCAAAATCCAATTCTAACAGCAAATGAAAAATCGGTAAAAAAAGGTTTATCAAAGCTGACTAAAACACTATGTACATGATTCCCTTCATTTTCAATGGAGGTTGTGTAGCTACATCACTTAGGGCATCCGGTGACTTTTATTAAATGAAAACGAACTGGAAACAATTTTAATGTGCACACACCCTACATCACCAGATGACAGGCTGCCACTCTGAACAGTTTAAGAAAAACCCAAAGAGCAGAGGTCTCAACTATGATCATTTGCCCAATGTCATATCAGAGCTCCTGAGGCTTCCACAAACTGGGGCAGAGAGCACGGCCCAAAAGAGATCCTTCCTCTTACGAAGCAATGCCGAGAACAAGAGGCTTTAAACCTGGTCTGTGGATCACCCGGAGCCTGCAGAGCACTTGCTAGCCACAAAGGGGAGCCACGCAGACAAGGTGGGGAGAAAGCATGAGAAACGCTCTCTCTTGCAAGCCTCTCAAAAGGAAAAAGCTAAAGCAATGGTCGTGAGTTTTTTGAACACCAGATTTATGTTGCACAGTGTACTGAAACTTCCCTTATTAAAAGTGGCCACTCCAAGGGCAGAATTCTTCCCGGAAAAGGGCCCATCTAATGCTTCTGCATGACTCATGCCTCACTTTAGCTCTTAACATGAAGATTAATTGATCTGGAGGTGACTGCAGTGAATTTCATCTTAATTAAACTGGCTTACTCAGAGTAATTCTTGAAAATGAAAGTTTTAGCTTATGCTTTATGTGAGTCAATTTTATTTCATGTCTTCATGGTGAAGATAACTTTTCTTTCATAAATTCACAAGCAGGAGCTCCAAGAAATCCCCTTTTGCCTCAAGATCTATAAAGCAGATCACAAAACCAATTTGATGTTATAGCAGTAACCAGCAAGTTGCTCCGAATAAATCTTTCTCATTAGATATCTACATTCTCATATCTCTGTTGTTTAACATTTGCAATATTAAAATATTAAATATGAAAATATTTGCAATATTTGCAACAGTTAATTCAGATGTAAATAATTAGTAAAAGTAAGTATGCAAATAAACAATAATATTAGAAATGAATGGAAGTTTTTTTCATATTTTAAAATTATATCCAGGATTGAGACAGTATCTATAAAACTTATTTATAGAGCAATGCACACCCATAGTAATCATACTAATTACATGGGAGGGATATTTCCCTGAATTCTCCTCATCCAACGCTTTCAGATGTACGGCTGTGGAATTGTCAAAATAAAAGAACACAAAGTACATTTAGTAACTTTGTGTCCATTTCAGATAGGAAGCATCCCAAAGAAACAGTTTTTCTGAAATATGCAAAATATTCATTTTGGTATTTCATTTTTATTTATAAACTTCTCCTTCATTTTAATTTTTTTTTTTAAATTTAAAATAGCCCTGAAATACTTCATTTGACCTGAAATAATCTTCCTCAATTTTGAAGCTTATGGAAAACTGAAGGTAGACCTGAAGCTATTACAAATTTTCAGAACTGCCTGAAATTTGCAAAAAACTCCAGGTGTTTTTACAGTTCTGATATGCAGATTATTTAACTCGCCTCTTTACAATGCTTTATTTAAAAATAAGAAAACTCAGGATAAGAATATACATTAATCTGCTTTAATGCAACATTAAGGAGACATTTAAATGTTCAAATGACAGAAAACACAAAAATACCATTTTCATAGCTACGCTAACCTGTTCATATTTTATATAGATACATCTTTACAGTGTTACACCTCCTAGGTATCCTTGCATTGTATTTTCTCATTTCTTTTACAAAAAGAAATTAATGGTGTGTCTGTGTAAAAAGGCACAAGAATACCAGACCTTCACTCAGAACTGCTAAATATAACATATATTGCACCAAATTCTCTTGTCTGAGTACACAAATCTCAGAGAAATTTCTGCTGATATACTGGAAGGTGAAATGGGTTTTCCAGTATGTATTTCCAAAGCAAGGCCCTCACTCTTCCTTCGACTGAAATGAATGCAAAGCCACTGCTGACTTCAGCAGAAGTACCACAGGGATGCCGTGATCAGTGGCTGTATCTACACTGCTGGCCAGCTGTAGACTGCCAAACACCCCACCGTCCTCCTGCTGAGTTTGTTCCCGGCAGTATTTGCTCACACCTCAGGTAACCACTGGCTCCGTGGTTACCCAGTCCCAGAGTGCTTCTGTCTCCCTCCCCACCTCTGCATCCACATTTCCTTCCAAAAGAAGCCATGGCACACAGCAGGGTGGTATGCAACCAAGTCTTCACTGATCCTTACAGCAGGGATACAACAGTAGTAGTAAAGTCGGTTATCCTATGGATATTACCCACATTGGATTTTTTGTTGCAATGTCTGTTCTCCAAGCTTTTAAAGCTGTGATGGCAGCACTGTACTAATTTGTTTTGTTGAACTGACTATTGTTTAATAATGACAACACTATGCTGCTTATTTGTCATTTCATGTAGTAATGGACATGGAGGTATGTACATGAAATCTCATCTGAGAAAATCTTCAAACACAAACCCAGCAAATTCTGGAAAGGAAGTGGAGGAATATAGTATCTAAGATGTATATAAAGGATAAACAGAAAAGTGAAATGTCAGGCAGAATGTCAGAACCTTGTCGTGGACTTCTTAGAAAACTGAAGAGAAATAGGAAAATTCTGGTAGATACTAGCATAAGGCTCCAAAAATGCATTCTTCTTAATACTTTGTGTTTGAAAGACAAGTTAAATGTTTATTGAAAATGTATGTACTACACCTGAGCCCGCGTCCCCCTCCTTCAGACAAAAACACACTATTATAAGCTTATTACCATTATTAGTTCATAATTCATGTGGTAGAGATTGTCGAGAATCATATTTCTCGCTGTAAAGGAATGTGGTTCCCTTGAAATGAAAAACTGACCTGTTTTCCCAAATACATCACAACATTGCTGAGGACTTTGCTGTAGCTAAACAGACTTAATGAAGTGTAAAACTGAACTTACAGAATCCATAAATAAACAAGAATCCAGGCCCTTAGATAAAAAAGGGTTTCTTGCATGATCAGAAAATCTTTGATTTTTTCCTATGATTAATTACAGGGTTCTTAATTAAAAACACAGCTCTCGCTCACTTTGATAAGAACTGGGTCTGATGCTAAAACTTCCACAGAATTTAAGGAATTATTAAGGACAAGATCAAGCTTCATGCTATAGTTTCAAATTATTTCATATTTACCAGCAGGCGGAAGAAGTAAATCTGGCTGTGAAATCAGTAAGATTTGTTTGTTAGGCCTTTTGATTTTTTGCGAGGCAGCATTAAGAAGCAAGGGAATTCCATCACTGCAAGTTCTTTGAAATCAAACTCCAAGTAATCATAAGAAATCAAATTTCAAAATCAATTGATACAGACTTGTAAGTTATATATGGGGTTTCTGTTACTTGTTTCCTTAATATTTTGGCTGTGTGGATTAATTTTGGGAGGATATTTGAACCATAGAGAAATAATACCAAATATGGTTTTATTTCCCTACAAAAAGATACACTTGTGAGATTTGAAATCAGGTAGGTGTTTTTCAGAATATTTTTAGAGTTAAAAAAAATTAACATGCAGTCTCTCATAGGTAATGTTTACAAGGAATGGAGAATTACATCATGTAAAATATCAGTAGCGAAGAACATGCTGAAGGTTAACTGCAGTGATTTTGAAATTTCTTTTTAGCGTATTTTGATAGTCGCGCATTTTAACTGGTTTGCAAACAAACTACTTCTTCAAATACAGATTTTCAGCTAAAAGTGATCACTAAGCTCAAAAGACCACTTACCTGGGTCCTCTAAAGGCATATCAACAATGACTTGGTCACTGTATTTTCCATATAGACCATTAGAGCAAACAGCAACTATCTGAAGAACATAACTTGTATTGGGCAGCAGATTATTTAGAATAGCCCCCTAAAAGAAAAACCATATTTAATCATTTACTTGCAAATAAGTATCAAATATTTGGAAATGTTCATTTTTTCATAACACATTTTTCATATGAACCATAAAGCGCCTTTCTTCTAGGCTCTAATGTATGCTTTTTATATTTTATTGCACAAATGTTTTTCAGTCAACTTTAAAAAAAATCTTGTGAATTTTTACATGGCGTATACCAAACTACATTATTATTTAATGCTGAACACTAGTTTAGGTAACATTATCTCTGCTAAGTTATGAGTCTTTAAAGAGGGTTAGAGGAACAGATCACATTAGTACAATACCATGAAGTAACTTAATATTTATAGCAGTATGATTGTACTGAATCTTATTAGTTGCTTGTGTAGGTCATTCTTTGCACATCAGTGAGCAATGAAGTACAGATCACTATTAATTGAATAAGGGTTTTATGGCTAAGGAGCTCTGAGATTGATGGTCATAAAATTTTGGGGGTAGGCAAATCAGAACAGCAATCTGTGAAAGCTTTCTCTCTTCTGGGCAAGAGAGGATTTTTTTTTTTTTTCTTTTTAATTGCCTTTGTGGCTTCACAGCCAAAAAATGAAGTACAGCTTCTGTGAGCTGCAGTCAAAGAAGTAATTTTTTTTTATTGAATCAGCTCCCAGCTACTGTTTAATCCCTTAAGATAATTAACAGTGAGTGTTTTGCCATCACCCCTTTGTATGAAACTTGAAGAGTTTACAGTTACCAAGTCCTGATACCCATCTGTCAGAAACTCATGCTTAGGCTGGTCTTCTCCATCCAACTGTTGATAAAAGACAGCAAATCTCTCAATTGTGGTGTCGTATACAACCCGAGGTCTTTCCCATGTAACAAGAAGACTAGTATAATTCTTTGGATCAGATTGAACATTTTCAGGTTCTGAGCTGCAAACTGGAAGAAAGAAAAGGGGAAAGAATATGATATTTATTAAACGGTACAAATGACTCCACTAAGATCTTGAGCCACCTCCTGAGAAAACTAATGCAAGTCTTTCATGTGCCTCATTTTTAGCTTTCTACTAAATATCTGAGATGCCATGCACTATAAACAGAACCAGTATTTTAACACTAGATTTTCAAAAGCAAGTTAATTTGAGGACTGAGTCCTCTTTGCCCCCTTTTTTATACCATATTTTGTGAAATATTAATATCCAGTTCCCAAGAAATAAAATATAAAACACAAAACATAAAGATTCCTATACATGTCCTGGGAATGAAAAATCTCTCTTACTCTGTCTTTATGGGTCTATCAGAGTAGCATTAGAAGAGATGCACCTCTTCCACCAGCTATAATAGCCTGTAATCTACAGTAGATTGTTTTTAAAGGTTAAAGGTAAACCTATCACACTCGAATTTCCTCTCAAGGATGTTTGAATCTTTTTATAGTACCTAAAGAAGACACAAAAGGCAAACAGGGAGAGGCTAAGAAATGATTAGGTTAGCAGGTAGTGATTTCATGTTATTATATTGTAAGGCACCAGCTAGACATCTGCTGAAGAAGTCTGATCAGAAGTCTGTTGCAGTCCTGGGCCTGGCTCATGCACACCTTCTTTGTGAGCCTGGAACCTGCGCTCCAGAAGACTAGTCAGGCAGCTACTCTTGTGTGGCTTCCAGCCTTTCCAATACTCTCTCCATCTTATTCAAGTAAGCTGAACCTTTTGATACTTTTCTAGACATACGGATGTACTGATTACCAGTGTCCTAGAAATTTACTGAGACTCTGACATTTGTTTTTTAAATTGCCCAAGTACCTGTGTGTGGCTTAAAAATAATATACAAGGTCAAAGGTAGATTAACCTGTATGAAAAAGTTACATTAGCAGAAAATGTAAAATATTTAGCTAAAGCTCACTGAAAAATGACCAGTAAGCTGTGATACATGAAAAAACAAAGCAACATCATATACAGTTGCATCATTCGTAGCAGGCTTGGGCTTGGGCTGAGACCCCATTCTCCTTCCTTGCTCTCATCATCCCCCCTGCTGGTGCAGTGAACCATGTCTCCAGACACAGCACTGAAGAATGGAGATGACTGTCAAAAATGGTCACTAACTTTTGGTTCCCAACTTGAAAGCACAGCAACTAGATTTGTTCTGATGTTTCAAAATGAGGATCAGGGGTCCCTGACATTTCCTTTTATAAATCCCTCTTCTTATCTCTTTGAAACTGCAGAGTTTTTGCACTTCAGTTTAAATGCTATTTGCCCCGCCCTAGCTTTTGGGAAGTTCCTTTCTCATGTACCGAATCTCCTTTCATATGCGCTTTCATATGTACTGAAAAGGCATACTATTCAGTCTATTGCTTCAATTGTTACCTCACTTCTATTCCTTTATTTCATCTCTTAGATTTGTCAAAACCACTGATCAAAGTACATGAAGTTTACTTTGAATCTTTCAACAATTTAATTAAATCTTACATATTAAAATGATTAGGTGGATATATTTTTATTACAAAATTTTTAGCTTGACTTTTGCACAAGTAATTACATAATCATTCCCTATTTGGAATAAATGAGGAAACGTATTTTTCACATCTCAGAATCTGTTTAAAACAAACTTTGAGTATCTAGCAAAAGCAAGCAAAACAACCTGTCTAGCTAATTAAGAAAACAAGTGTAGATTATTTGGCGTTTTCTTAAAGGAAGCAAACACCATGATACTGCAACGCTTTTGGTGGACAACACTGCATTTTTGAAAGAAAGGAAAAAAATTCTTTCCATTAACTTTGCAATTTGCCACTTGAACACAGGAGGGCACTCAAACCCCAATATTTTGAAAAACTCGGTTTCTTCTGTTGTGTAAGCAGGTGGACAGTTTGAGCAGCTCTGGTCTGAGCTAGTCAATGGAAAATAAGCAGCGATTTTTTTTTTCTTTTCTTTTTTTTGTGTGTGTGAGCTAATGGTACAGCCAGTATTAGCCTGTGTAACTTAGTTGAATTCTGTAGCTTGCCAGGCTTTGAATCTACTGTGCTTTGTATCTGACACGCCATTTTATTCATTATACTGAATTCTTTTAATTGACATAAAGGAAGAGCAAAAAAAAAAAAAAAAAAAAATCTCAAGTTGTGTACCTTCCATTCCATTCCTAAAACTTGTCATTCCACACCATTTCCACCAGATGGCAAAAGGAAATCATTAGACCAGCAAAGACAATTCCCTTTTCAATTCTGAACATTAAGGCAGATGACTTAAACTCTGATTTTATTTTTTTTAATTAATCAAAACAGTCTTCACCTATTTCTTTTTGAAGCTGTTTAAAATATCTCTCCAAATGCTTTTTCATAGTATAAGTACCAAGCTTCTCCCTGCCCAAACTCTTCTCTACTGTCCTTCTTCCTCCCTTACTCTCTTTTGTCTGTGAGTGAATTTGGTTCTGACCTCTCTGACTGTATTCAGACTAACTGAGCAATATTATAAAACTTTTAAAGGTGGAAGATTGGTGTCTCCAATATTATTTATTTCAGTTTCACTCTGTTCTCTTTTCCAAATATTTTTTTTTTCAAGAAAAAAGTTATCTTGCCTGTTATTCTCCTCCTTTTTATGCTTGGTCCTGTTCATCTCAGCAGTGACCAACAATATTCCTACGTGACAGTCATCTGCATATTATTTCACACCGACTCCTTCCCAAGTTGTTGTCTCTTGCCCTTCTTCTGATGTCTTTTCATCCTGCCTGTGCTGTTTCCTTCCCTTTCCTGCCAATCTTAGTAATACAGAGTAATAGAGAGGTACTTTGCTCCTGCCTTTTCCCATTTTCCCTCTCCAGAGACTGGGAAAAGTGAGGAGTTCACATATCAACTTACCTAATTAAAGACTTCTGTTCTGATATGGACTTTGAAAATTTGGGCAAAGAGACTTCAAGAAAGAGAGTTTTCAAGTCTGTTGCTAGTCTGAATTCAGAGGTATTCAACTGGATTACAAGTCTCAAGCAGCAAAATACTATTCACAGGAAGTCAGAGACCTATTCAGGACCCTGCTGGGCTTGAATTCAGACCTCTGCTTTCCCCAGGTGAGTACTCAGATGCTGGTTTTGCATATCAGATCATGATAATGCACCTATCTTTGCTTATTCTTCTGTGGAATAAAATGCTACCCATATAACTTAGAAGTTTTTAATCTAAACTGAATTGAATCATCAGGGAGCACCAAGGCACATTAGCCAAATCATTGTCAGAAACTGCTTGGGCTGTGTTCTCGACAAAAAGACCTTTATAAGCTGCCCAAATTTGGCTTATCCATATATATATATAAAAAAATTTATTCCTGGATTTAAGCTTCTCTGAGCTTGGCACAGTTGGAATAAAACTAGGTGAGGCAGCACTGGGTAACTCAGGGAATTTTTTTCCACATTTGTTGCTTTCTTCTACTTTTAGTTGAATCTGGGTTTGAGATTTTTATCTTTTAAATCCAGATTTTCAGTTGTGGAAGCCGTGAAATCACTTCATTTAGATTAAGACATTCAAGGGCTTTTCAGCTCCCTGTCACAGTGTGTGGCAAAAAGTAATTCTTCAATATTCCTGGTCTACTCTATCTCTGTGATGGAGGTGGAGCAGCACAGTAGATATGTGTGCTGGGTTGACCTCGGCTGGCCACCAGGTGCCCACCCAGCTGCTCTCTCACTCCTCCTCCTCAGCAGGACAAAGGAAGAAAATAAGATGAAAAAGCTCATGGGTCAAGATAAAGACAGGGAGATTGCTCACCAATTACCGTCACGGGCAAAACAGGCTCGACTTGGCAAAATGAATTTAATTTATCACCAATTACAATAGAATAGCATAGTGAGAAACAGAAACAAAACTAAAATCACCTTCTCTCCACCCTTCCCTTCTTCCCAGGCTCAACTTCACTCCTGACTCTTCCACCTCCCCACCTCAAGCGGCACAGGGGGGATGGGGAATGGGGGTTGTGGTCAGTTCATAACGCTTTGTCTCTGCTGCTTCTTCCTCCTCATGCTGTTCCCCTGCATCAGTGTGGGGTCCCACCCACAGGATAGTCCTTCAAAAACTTCTCCAGCATGGGTCCTTTCCATGGGGTACAGTCCTTCCAGAAAAGACTACTACAGTGTGGGTCCCCCCATGGGGTCACAGATCCTGCCAGAAAACCTGCTCCTGCATGGGCTCGTCTCCACAGTCTCCACAGGCCGTAGCTCCTGGCAGGAGCCTGCTCCTGCGTGGGCTCTCCATGGGCTGCAGCAGGACAACCTTCTTCACCACGGTCTTTTCCCCAGGCTGCAGGGCAATCTCTGCTCTGGCACCTGGAGCACCTCCCCCCCTCCTCCTTCTCTCACCTTGGTGTCACAGGGCAGTTTCTCACAGGTTTTTTCCTCACTCCTCACTGCCATGCAGCATTTTACCCTTTCTTAACTATGTTTTCCCAGAGGCTCCACCATCTTGGCCGAGGGGCTCAGCCGTGCCCTGTGGTGGGTGGGTTGGAGCCGGCTGGGAACGGCGGCACGGGGCAGCCCCGGCCTCTCCTCGCAGAGGCCGCCCCGCAGCCCCGCTGCCAGCGCCTGGGCACCCGCACCTAGCACATTATGTCAGTATAAAGTATCCTGCACAAGAGGAAATGTCCTGAGAGAATCTGAGAATGGTTATAGTTAATTTATGTCATCTGTGGTAGTGAAATGGTAAAGGCTCGAGTCCTTACCCTTGCTCTTGCAAGAGAATTTAATTAAAGTAACTGCTGAGCTTTACACAGTTGTATTTTGCATGGGAAAACAGGCTGACAAATATTTTTTACCAATATAAATTGTCAGTCTTGAATTTTAAGAACCCATTGTTTTTTATATCCTTACTAAATCCAGGAAGATCAACAAGAATTGTGTTTCTGCACTTACTCACAGGGCATTGCTGGAAGAGTGGAGCGGATGGGAAGTTATGTAACGGGCCCAGCAGCTACTACAATGGTTCTCAGGTTTATAGGAATAACCAATGGTTTCTATTATAAACGGATTTTCATGCCAGCTGAGGTTGGTGGAGATAAAGCATTACAATTTCAAAAAGCTTTTTGAGTTGAATCCTCAAGTGTGTCTGTAAGGATTAGCTATTTTAATCTTCTTCTTAAATATATATGTACATATATGCATACTACATATCACACAGGAAAATTACACGTATCACTAGGCAGGCTTAGGGAACAAAGTATCTCCCGTGTCGTCAGTAGGGCAGTGCTTGTACACCAAGAATGTTGAGGTTGTCACTGTGTGAAAATTTCTGACAATATATTGCTGAAATTAGTTTATAATTGAATAGAAAGATTCTTTTAGCCCTTTTAAGGAAACTTAGCTCTACTTAAGAACTGCCATGTATTAATAACAGCAATAAATCAAGCACTTAATCCTACTGCCTAATGGGAGTCTACACTGAATCCAATAGGAGAAAATTGGGATTCTAAGTTTCACAACACAAAATAACTTTTCAGTTACCTACTTGAGTAAGACTCACTTTTGTAATTTCTCTTTGTCATCTAAAGTGATTTCAAAGATTATTTTTCCTCTGTTGACTACAAGAACTTCGCAATATTAAATATGAAATACATAAACCTACTTACTCTTGGGCACTTAGGCATTCATGTTACAGTTTTTACATCTCAACATTTAAGTTTAATGATTCCTAGGGCTTTTTACTTACCTTCTCTTAAAATGGAGGTGAAAACACAAATGCTTCTCTAATGTTTTACATTAAACAAATCCTATGATTGCATTTGTGTGCATATATATACATGTGTGTGTACATAAATATCTATATGTGTACGTGATGTTGTTGCATCTACATGTGTGTGTACATAAATATCTATATGTATGTGTACGTGATGTTGTTGCATCTACATAGTGCACATAAATATTAACAGAAATGTGAAATATATATACAGGAAGACTTGAAATTTTAGTGATCCCCTTCTGTTCCTCCTTGTTTATGGCCAAACCAGAATTTTGTTTTGTTTGTAGGCCAAACCTACAATTTGTTACTTTAAATACCTAGTTTGGCATAAATACTACGTGTGCTGGCTGCCACAGTAATGTGACTGCAGGACACTTTTGTCTTAAACTCGGTAGATTGAAACCCATTTGTTCAGTATTATACAAGTCTACGCACACAGAAATTTTGGACGCTCTACAACATATTTTATCATTACATGAAGCGGAAGGGCATTCTAATTTTAAATGGTATAACTCAATGCAGAAAAGGATCCTAATATCTTTAGGCTGGACACAAGATAGAAAATTCACAGAATCTCTCTTTGATATAGTGCAGAAATGGGACTGGTTGGGAGCAATCTCCTATGCAGTTTTAATGCACACACTGCTTTGGGACAGCACGTGGAAAGCTCCTTCAGGTGTCAGCACATGGAGTGGACAGAAGGAAGCAGGGGCCTGTCTTAAACAGTATTATCCAGCTTTTCTTCTTGTCAGCCTCTATGGAATCTAGATTAGGATAGCACAGCTGAAAGTAGCTTCTTTCTATTGCAGTGACTGAGCTGAAGGGTCAAGGCCAAGGTCATGGCTGTAGTGCAACCACCTGGGAGGCAAGTGGATTGCAGGTGGCAGAAGTCCCAGTCTCTGTCTTCAAAGGTACTTTGCCTATACCTTTCTTCACTGTAGATTGACTCCTATTTATAAAGGACTGAGAAGATTCATTTCCTTCTGACAACATGGACATAAGAAAAGGTGGTCTGTATTACAGTGACCTGTCTCCCAGAGACCTTCATTAAATAGAGGGATTTGGGGAAGGATGATCTTTCTTTAAGTTAGGCCAAATCAACAATTGTAAGTCTATTTGGAAACAGAAATTTATTTAATTGTGATAATATGCTTGATTGGTGCAGCTCAATCCGATACTCCTTCTCCAAGCTTCAAAATTTCAAGTGCCACTTAGTACCTAAACAAAAAAACCCTGCCAGAACAGATATTCCTTGGCTTAGACCAATGCAAAAAAATTCATATCCTGGGCACATATCTGAGGAGTTCATGACAAGCTGAAGTCAAAACAGAAGTGTCACTGACTGGTTATAGAAATGAAGAAGTAAAGCTATGTTGTGCAGCACTGTGGTGAAACAGTGTGATGTACTTGTGCAGGGGACCCAGCCCTCCGGCAGTTCTGAATGATGAACATCCCCTAGCTTGTACAGAAGTTTCATACACAGGATCCTTCCAATAGGAAAAAAAAAAATCCACCCAACCAAAGCGAATTAAAATGAAACCACACTTCTTTCTAATCTGGAGAACACCTACACCACATGCTTCAGTCATCTGTCTATGTCTAATTAAGCACAGTTTAATTAAGCAACTGAGTTTAAGAATCTACAGGTATCGCCATGCAAGTAGCAACAAAATGCCCAAAAATTAGATGTTTACTCTTTATTCTTCTGTGCTTGTGAGTACAGAAGTCATCAACTTCCATATTTAGTGCTAGATCTTGTTTCCCATTACATAATGTACTGTTTCGGTCATATAACCCTCACAAACTTCCCTGAGGTTTTAGGTAAAACAGAGAACAGAAACTGGCTTCTGGGATTCTCTCCATTCATCACTTTCTCAGCAGACTACGTGAAATGAATTTGGTGACCTCACTTCAGCCTCTGTTGGAAAAGCATCCATATTACACAACAAAGAACCAAATGGGTTTGTAAAACAAAATCCTCTTGCAGCCCCTGAAAAGGCAGCTTTGTTTAAGTCTGAAACACATTAAAAGGGCAGTGCAAGAAAGCTTGAACTGACGTGATCTTCACTGAAGTTTAGTCAAGACAAGCATTTAGTTTTCCACTCCATTTAATCTGACATGTTTTATGTTTGCTAGTTTTTTTCTCTGAAGTGATAGATTTATGAGTAATAATACAGTGTGCTACTTTGTATACAATTTAAAATGAGTATCTTCATACTAGGATGAATCTCCTACTGAAAATTGTCTTTCAACCTGTGAAGAGAAGAATGACTATTCAGTAAATACCTGCTTCATGAATTTCTTCTTGTCCAGTGTAAGAGGAAAACACTTGCCCAAAGAACTTATATTGCTGCTCTCGAAAGTTATTTTGCAGGTAGTCCATCAGCATAACATAGCCAGACTGCTGCATTGTAAGGACTTCACAGAACACAGCTAACTAGAAGAGGCAAGGAAAAAAAGAAGTGAGAAGTCATAACAAATTAACCAGATACTGCTAAAAGGCAAAAACGCTGGGGAAAAGATGTTGGGTAAAGTCTCCCAGTTGAACTGTCCCAGGTGGCACTGAACTTTTGTTCCTCTGTACCAGCAGTATATCTAATGGTTTACTCCACCTGTATTTCTCAACCACTCTGCTGTTGGAGCTATGCTCTGCCCAGTCACCACCATTTAGCTGGGGGAATATGGAAAGAGAGTTTTGCACTCAAAAACGCTGGGGAAAAGATGTTGGGTAAAGTCTCCCAGTTGAACTGTCCCAGGTGGCACTGAACTTTTGTTCCTCTGTACCAGCAGTATATCTAATGGTTTACTCCACCTGTATTTCTCAACCACTCTGCTGTTGGAGCTATGCTCTGCCCAGTCACCACCATTTAGCTGGGGGAATATGGAAAGAGAGTTTTGCACTCCTAAGACAGCCTGCAGAGTTAGGAAGTGTGTTCTCCTTCCCATCTAAGGCAAGGAATGACTCAGAATCTAGTCCTGAACTAAAAAAGGGAAAAGATAACACACTCAAGTAATATATATGCTTTCTAATTTAACAGCTGCATGAAAAATTTATAACTAGATAAAAGAAAAGCTAGGTTGTTGGGCTGGCAATGAATGCCATGAGCTTTTACCATGTACATGGCAATATGCTTTTCTTTGGCATTATGTACAATTGTTTGGTTTTAATACATTAAACAAATTACCTGGTCTTCAGAAATACTAATGGTATCTTTAAACACAATCCATTCAACCGTTTCAGAGCAGGGAGGAGTTGATAAAGACCCATTATAAGTGTAATATTTGTCTGTTGCATTTGGCAAAAGGTTCAGCATAATAAATGGTTCTAAGGCAGCCTGTTTTCCTGAAAAAAAAAAAAAATTAGAGTCAGATTGTTAAAATACTGCAGAAGCAATGAATAAATAGAAATCACACTCTCCAAAAGAGTTACCATTATAGGAACATGCTAATTTTGAGGCTATTCAAAATTTGATCTCCGGAGAGACTAGCATACAAATAAATTGCTGAGCCTTTTCTATTTATTTTGAATAAGTATTGTTCAAAACCAACTTTGTTTACTTGGGAAGGTGTAATGAGTTACTTCAGCAATAGATAAAGTAATCAGTACATTGGTTCACAAGAATTTGTTCACCTCTAAGTTTACTCATAAATGTCCAAGATGCCAAATCTTTGTCTCACATGTGAACTTCAAAGAAAAAATATGTTAAATCTTTGTTCTTGGTCTAATGACATGGCTTCAAACTCTCCCTGAATTTGGTCAAGTTGTTGAGTTTCTCACAGGATCCTAACTTCTGCAGAAGATCACTGCCTGGGGAACTGTCGCCATGTTAGACCTGAGAGTTACATCACTCATGACCGCAGAAACAGAATTTCTGTGGATCAGGGGTTTTTTAAAATGGTGATAATATAGTGAAAAACTGCAACAGCTTTACACAAAGCAGAGAAGGATGCAAAGACCTCCTCCAGGAGAGTATGTCCACCCTGTTTATTTCCCTGTGAAAATAATATCATGTCTTTCAGGTCAGCAGTTTACCTGGTACCTTGTCAGCTGGGAGCATGCCTGAGGAATTGCTGGGAGTCCATTCACAGAAAGCTAAGTTTGTGCTGGTATGGCAGTAGGGTCCAGCAACAGAAGTTGGCAGAAAAGGTACCAACTTCCTCAAGGCAGATATTTTCAGTCTGTGACAATTATCTGCCTTATTGTCTGAAGCATCCAAAATAATATTTGTTTTTTACACCTTGGAATAATGTAGATCCCTACATACCTTATTTCAATCTAAAGTTACTGATTAGATTTCTCCCTATTTGATAAGTATTCACTTATGAATATCTAATGAATTTTCAGTGTGTGCATTAACTTGTGGTTTTACAGATATATTACTTCTTGAGCCCTGTACAGATTTCTGACTTGTCTTTGTCTTCATAATTCCCTACAAATTTGGTGAGAGCAGCAAATTACATTTACAATTTATTACAAATCATTGATGCTTTTCTTTTGTACAATGATTGTTCCACTGAGTTAAGGTTTAAGAGCTGGCTCCTCCCCTCTCTCTTATCCATGTGTCACGAAAGCGGAACATTTAGCAGTGTTGAGCAAAGCCCATCCTTCTATTTCTCCTGTCAACATGTTAATCAACCTTCAGATGGAAGCTATCATTGCTATCTGGTACGTGTCTAGTTAATGCATTCTTCCTTCAGTAAAAAAGAATGGCCAGTTCATTTTATATAGATGCTTGGGGACATGAAACTTCTCATTTATAGTAAGAATCCTGCCATACATTTTGCAACTGTGGATTTTAAAATGTCCTTTAATGTGATTGACAGCCTAGATTCTAAAATCAAACACCTACAAGGAATGATAAGAAACACAGAGTTCGTCCGGAAGGAACAGGACTGCTCCTCTGCAGAGCTTGAGAACTCAGCAACTGGGATTCAAATAAGCACAATACAGATATGACTGACAAGGACAGATCATGTACATCACAGACAAGGACAGATCGTGTGCTATTCACTTTTCTTCAGGAGGAACAATTTGATTCAGTCATGACCTGAATTTTCAGAGCTCATTTGCATTTTATTCAAGAAAACGATATTCTACTCATTGTTGAAGTGCCATGTAGTGGCTGTATCTTGAATCTTGCTGCTGATAGTTTTACAGCTCTTTCCAAGGCTGTAGGACAGTATCTGCCTTGATGTACTACTCGTTCTCCTTTGTGTTTCATAGAAGATGGCACGCAATGATAATGAATCTTAACTGCTTTATATTTCCCCCTCCTCTGTCTTTGTAATTTATGGAAGTCGCTCCCTTTTATATTTGTTGAATGGTGTTCGCTTTCTGGAGAAAAACAATCTTGATTTTATTTGAGAGCTTTTAAAATAGTGGACTAATAGCTTTTTACACTTTCAACCTATCGATCTTAAGGGGCTTTACAAAGCTGAAGCATCAGTACATATAGGAAAACTGAGATGAAATTAGCCATTTACTTAAGGTCATGGCCATGATGTAAGAAAATATCCCTGTTCAAGACAGTGCTCATTCATGTTTATTCTTCTGCCACTGTGAAACTGAATTAGAAACAGAGCCCAGATCTCCTCATGTGCCACCCTGAAGTCCATGTGCTCTGACGTGAAACTGTGAGGAATTCTAAAACACCGAAGTGTCAACATTCGGTTTGAATAATGCTAGTGCAAATACAATATAATTGGATTATTTCAGATTTACACAGGAGCTACTGAAAAAAGAATTCACCTCTACTGAATCTACTGAGTACTGATATTCATACGGTCTCATGCTTGTAAGACACATCTTGGATGACTGCAACAGGGTTATTTGGCTTCCAACCACATATAAAAATCCAGAAATGTATGATTAAGAAAGCTCAGAGAATAAATCAGACATTTCTCTTGATTTAGCATTTAAAGAGTTGCAAATTCCTCATGATAGTTATATTTATTCATTTACAGTTACTGCTGCTGTTACAAACATTCAGTCTTGGTGTAAATAAATCATAGAATCATAGACTATCTCGAGTTGGAAGGGACCCATAAGGATCATCGAGTCCAACTCCC